TATAACATGGTACTTGACAAATAACAAATTTATCATGTTCTTCAGGCTTACGTTTAGAGCCTAATTGTAAAGCAGCTAAAAATTTCACAATAATAACTGCACCAATGAGACAAGCGTATGACAACAAAAGATAATCGGTAATTACACATCTAAAGGAGGACCTGAAATCAACCCTTCCAACATAAAATACTGAATCAAGACATTGCTTTGTTGCGATTAACATTTCTTGCGTTATTGCACCTTTTGCAGGCCCACCATAAAAGTCCTTTGTAATATCCTGGCCAGCTCTATCTGTAAATAAGTCTTCCACATTTGCCTGTAAATACCTGTAATTAGGAGGTCCCCTATTTGGGTCATTGTTATTTTGTGAATTTTTTGTTGCAGTATAAAAATAATTTCCCAAATCATAAACTTTATTATCAATAATAGCCCATCTACGACCCCCTGACACAGCTTCACTAGTAATTACTTTTGGATCCCAAACAACGTCAGCCTTGATCATACTTTTCATCCTTGGTAAAAATGAGTTCCAATACCATTTTGGATCAGTAAGATGTGTGTCTTTGTATGGATTTTTTGTACCTGAAATATGTTGAAAGGTTCCTATTCTATCGGTTTCATTGGCAATATCAACAGTAATATCATCGGTTTTAACAAATGGTAGACATGATTCTGGCTGATTCAAAGGTATAGGTATAGTATATGTTATATCCTTGCCGCCAAATGGTTCCATTTCTTTCGGACCAGCAGGTAGTTCTGGAGTGCTATGAGTTTGCTGATGAAAATCTGATAAATCATATACTACACCTCCGGTATAAACCCAAAAATCATTATCACCTTGATGAAGTGCTATATCCTCTTTAGAATATACTTTGTCTCTTCCAGGACAAATAATAAGACCAAATCCCACCATGAAAAATATGATGGCTAACGATAAAAATAATATCAAAAAACAGAGTGTGACTTTTTCACGCCAAGCCATTCGTACATCTGGTCGTTTCATTTTCCCAATATAAACAAGTAAAAATGAAGGTATCCACCAAGTGCAAAACCATACAAATCTAACCCACCAAACACGCGTTCTCGTGGCTGGTAATTCTTCAACTTCTTTAGGTTCATTTTTGCCTTCTTTAGTATATTCAGCGGAAGGTGGATTATTTATATTACTTATCACAACGATTGATTGATTGATTAAGTAGGTAAGTAATTAGTTAACTAATTAATTATAACACACACATTTTTAATTAATATTATTTGTGAAATACTAACCTATCATAACCACTTTTCCCCCATTCACTACCCCATACACTACCCTCTTCTTCTTGTTTTGAATTTTGATAGTCATCTTCACTTTCTGCATAACTTTGTTCGTCATATCCAGCCTCGCTAGCAGTGTAACTGGTTGCTACACCTCTTGGTAATAATCTATCCATCGAACTTGTTGCAGCCGCAGTAGTAATATTTGTACCTCTATCGCCACTAGTTAAACTATCGTTATCTTTAATTTGTTTAGCTTTTGCTCTTTCTTCTTTCTCGGCTGCTCTTAGACTATCCTCTAATCCTTTCCAAACAATTTCAGTCACAAACACATAATTATTACCCATTATTAAATTTTCTTCGCCCCAACCACTAATGGTAGCAAAAGCTTCAACCTTTTGTCTATCACTTCTGTTAGATTCTAAATTAAGCGTTTGTATAATTGAATCATATCGGGACAAGAAGTCTTTAAAAGTGTACCAAGCAGTGTATTCTATTTTTTTTTTGACAGTTATATCAGGTATTAAAAGGCCACGAATTTGAGACTTTACACGTTTTGTATCAAATGTATCTGAATCATTGGAATCATTTGGTCTTATTTGAAAAACATTCCACATTTTTGTTTCATTTAAAGTTTCAATCAATTGATTCAAAGTTGAAAACAATTGAGTAGTAACAGTTGTAAGATGTAATGAAGAAGCCTGTTTTTTCTTTGATGTAATTGTATCATCAGCATTTTTTTCTTCATCATTATTATCAACATTGGATTTGCTGATGTTCTTTTTGGATTTTTTCATACTAGGAGCCCGCATAGGTTTGGTTGGTAATTGAGCTGCTACAACAGTTTTATTACTTTTTGGATGATTTTCGATAGTTAAAGCGGGACCGGTAAATAATTTTTTGATAAAAGCGTTATTCGTATTTTGGAAAATATTTACGAAATCAGGAGAGAAATTATCTAAATTTTTATCAATGAAATTATCAACGGAATAGATTACTTGACCAGCAAAGTGGTTTATGCCAAAAGCACCATATTTTGAAGAAAACTTTGAAGTTGGAGGATTTGACACATAGGAAGAATGATGCGAAAAAGTTCCTTGTAAAGTAGAAAGTAGTTTTCCGTCATCGATATTGTTTTCACCACTTTGCAAATTAGAACATTCAGAATCTAAGACACCTATCATACCACCTAATTTTGATGATTTCGATGATTCAATATCACCTCTTAATAATTCCACACAACCGTTGTTATCCATTATTTGAATCTTTGGTAAATTGATGCCATTTTGTGACAGTTCCAAATTAACACCACAACTGTCATCAAATAATTGTTTTAAAACATAGTTTTGAATTTCTTCAGTAGCAAAATTAAAACAAAATTGTTCAAAACTATTTTTAGCAAAATTTTGATAACCAGGTTGATCTAATAAGCCAATGAAGTTGGGAGGTTCGTCTGACTGAATAAGGGTTGTATTGATGTGTTCAACTATCCAGGTGAATAATATGGAGTATAAAGTTCTAGCCAAAGCGTCTCTTTGTTCTTTGGCAGACCCGGCATCTAAAAAGACGGTGCATAATTCTTTACCAATATATTTAGTTTTGTAAGTTAAAGTTTGTTCTAATTTAAAAGCAGGAACACCTAAAGCTTGAGCAACCATATCTAAAATATGATGATTTTTAATTGTGGCAGCTTCATCTTTAGAATTTTTACCAGGATTTATAAATTCTATATTTCCTAGTAATAATATAGCAGATAAAATTTGCCAAATTTGAGCAACAGTTTTTGATTTAAAGCCCAAAATTTTAAGAGCAGCACGTAAATCTTCCATTTGAATCGAGTCGTCAACATCAGGAATATTATAAGACTTTGATTGTGATAAATAATTGTAATTATGAGGATCTTGAAGATGAAATAACGAACGTTCCTCGGATGTAACACCAGCCAACAAATAATAAAAAACATGATAGGTTCTTTCATCATGAGGCATTCCAGTTACTCGAGACTTGTCAAAACAATAGGTTAATATTTTTGAACCGACTATTCTGCCTTTTTCATTGAATTGTAATTCTAAATATTTTCCAAAACGTGATGCGTTGATATTTTGGGTAGTTTTTGCATTTCCAAAAGCTTCTAGAATAGTTTGAGCATTTTGTATTTGGTTTGCAAGTTTTGCTTCTTTTTTTGTATGGGTTGAAAGTAATAATAATTGTTGCAAGAGATGAACTTGAGATGCAGTTTTCCCGGAGCCGGTGATTCCGCTATTTATTTATTTAATGTTTCGATGAACAAAATCAACATCACAAATAATTAATCAAGATGTACATTTTTTGTTTGTCTTTTATTCTTGCCGTGATCAAATAAGATTGATAATAAACAAACCTGAATATTACGCTTTGGTCTTCAGCAGATCTTCGCATATGTAAATAAACCTTTGCGGCTAATTCATAAATATGTGGTTGCAAATTTGATTTAATTCCTGATGTGTCTTTGTACCATTGATCAGCATATTCTTTTGCAGATTCATCATTCATGAATTCTAGTGGCTTGTTCGGATTTACGACTATCATTGTCGAAGAATTTATACGAGTATAAGGGAGGTCTAATTTGAAGCGAGAAGAAATCAAAGAAATTATTTCATCTTCAGCAGCAGTATTTGAATTATTTGATAAAACTTGTACAAGATCAACCCTATCTTCTGGTGAAGAAGGAGCTGAAGAACGAGTTTTCTTCATTTTGGGCATTTGACCAAACAGTATTTTTAAATTAAAAAACCAAAAAAATGATAATATTATAAATATAAAAAATGTTTTTTTTCTATTACTACAATTATTATTATTATTATTATTATTATTTAAGAATTAATTTTGGGTATATTTATAGTCTAATTTTTAATGTCTCATGTGTTTTTTTTCCTTTCTACCCTTCTTTTAAATAATCATTAATTAATTCACTAGATGGAATTTAGGGAAAAATTTTATAAAAAAAGGATAGAAAAAACAAACAAATAGATTTTTATCTAAAAAAAAAAAAAAAGCAAGTAATATTTAATACATAAGATTATTTATAGACGCACACACATGCACACAACGTACATATATAACTATTTTTAAGACTAATTTACAAAAAGATTTTTTGCCGATACCATTTTCTTTATATTAAAAAGTATTAGTATTATTTCCAAAACAAACAATCAATCTACCAAAAGATTTCAAATAAGATTTCAGTGAAGTTTCAGCGAAGCCACATTGCGATTAGAATTTTGAAGAAATCAAGGCTTGAAAGAAGTGGGTTACGATTCAAAATATAAATAAATAATAAGTTAATATAAGGTTAAAGAATCTATTAATAGCAATAAGTTGATCAATCACATTTAGTATTAAAAAGTTTCACAAAGGTCTTTTTCCCATAACTTTTTTGTTTTGATCTTCGTCGATAAAAAAAAAATTCATTGTTGTTTTATTTGTTTGGACTTGTCTCTACATAGTCAAATTCATGAATCTTTTTTTCCTTTTGATAAGATATTATGAGCTCCGCATGTAGAGTATATCAAATTAATGGAATGGTTAATACCCGGAATTTTGTTGTTGACATCTTAATTTTATTATTATTGGTCAATTATCAAGGGATAATGTTCCAATAAAATTCACCAATTAAAAATATTTATTTTTGATACAAAGTTTCTAAAAATTTTACTTAATAAATAATAAATATAAATTTATACAGAAAAAAAAAGTAATGTACATCATTCAACTCCTATTAATTCTTTGGTAAACTTTATGATTAAATTCAGAGCTTTATCAACATGTTCTTTTTTTGTCCAATAACCACTAACTGGAAATCTAATTACCATTTGATCACCCAATTGTGTATGGGTAATAAAAACTTGTTTGGTATCGTTTAATTTATTTAATACTTTTTCAGTTAATTCGTTAGACGTGAATTGATTTTCTTTAGCAGCCGGGGGAATTACATAAAAACAAACGAGAGAAAAAGAATAAGGTGCAGCAATTTTAAACAATTCGGGATATCGTAAAATCTCCTTGTAAAAATGATCTGACAGTCCTATTGACTGTAAAGAGGAAGAAATATATCAGTTAAAAAAATAAAATAAAATAAATATGTTGGATACTTTGTTAAATAAATAAATACCTTTCGAATATGATTTCTTAATCCGTTTGCTCCATAACTTCTTACAACAAACCAAATTTTTAGTGATCGAAATCTCCTTCCAACTATTACAAATCAATAATTAGCATTTATTATTGTTGTTGTTGTTGTTGTTGTTGTTATTATTATTATTATTATTAATTGGTGATACGTGAATGAATCAGAGAAAATGTCTCAAATTTTGTCAATTGTCAACCTTTACACAAAAAATTGTATCATTCTTTTGTGCCACAGGATGATATTACTTTTATGTATGAATAAATTATTAATTTCAAAAAATAATTTTATCAAAGACTTTTCTATGTGGGAAACACAGATTTGAGGGTCTCTCTGATTCATTCACAGATTGGCAATTAAAGTACTTACAAGGTATTTGCCAGTCTCGATAATCCAAAACTAATCCACTTTCGCTTGCAGCATTTCTTAAAAATGCTGGCGTAATCGATAATGCATTTAAAAGAAATGATCGATCTTTAATCCTATCAAAAAAAAAAAAAAACATTATGAAGATATAAATAAATATACAAAGATTTTACTAATAAATAAATAGATACTTTACCAAAAACATGAACAATCAAAAGTGGTCAATAACCATTTATGCATGTTAAATCCGAATGAATCAGCCTTTTCTACTCCTTTTGAATAATGTTGATATTCGGGGCAAATAAGTGCCGCACCAGCATATGCTGCATCTACATTCAACCATATGCTTGTGCCCTCAACTAGAAACCAAATATTATTATTATTATTATTATTATTGTTATTATTATTATTATTGTTATGTAATAATAAATATAACGATTTAGTTTTATTTTATTTACTGGCTTCAGCAATTTCAACAATATGATCGACGGCGGCTGTGCTTGTTGTACCAATTGTTGCGTTAATAAAAAATGGAATCAATCCTTTAGCGATATCTTCTTCGATTATTTTTTTAACCGTTTCGCCGCGCAATGAATAATTTTCATCAGTTGGGAATAATGCAAATTTAGTATTTGCAATCATTGTAGCTTTCTTCACCGCGGAATGCGCCTATTTTTAACATTATATAGTATTAACCTGTTATATAGTAAATATATATATGTGTGTGTATACATAATATACATGCACCGCCTATCTTACTTGATCTGAAGCATACGCAATCAGCCGTATAGAAACTTCGTCCAATTCTTTTTCACTAAGACCCTTATTTTTGTATTCATCTAGTACTCTTTGTCTTGCTGCTATCAATGCAACCAAGATTCCTTCACTGGCAGTTCCTTGAATTACACCACCACCTTTCCCTTTACTAAGAAAACTAGAATCTAAATTAATTAATTTAGCAATCCAATCAAGTACAATGGTTTCCAATTCTGTACAAGCTGGTGAACATATCCACTATTCAATCAAACATAACAAAAGACAAATATTTAATATTTAATTTAAAAAATAAATGTCTGTAGCCTGTTTATTAAAAAATAAATTCTTACATTGAATCCAATACAATTAAACATGTCGCTGTACATATCACCAAGAATTGCTGGAAACGACGATGTTGCCGGATAAAATGCAAAAAAATTTGGACTTTGCCAATGCGTAACTAATCAATCAATCAATCGATCAATCAGTTGATAATTCTTTTAAATAATTATTTTCAAGAAAAATATCTTGATGACTACATACCACCAGGAAAAATTTTTGTTTCTATATCAGATTGAATTTCGTCCCATGATTCTGGATCTATTAAGAAAGAAATTAAATTTTTGTAATTGATAACAATAACAATAAAAAAATACTTTATATTAATAAATCACCTTCGGGTGCTTCATCCGGAAGAAGCTTCTCGAGATAACCAGGTTCAACTTTTGATATAACTAAATAAAAGTAAAATAATAAACGATTTCAAGGATTATATAAGAGTCAATCAAAGTCCTTTATTTTTTCTTTAATAATAGTAATAATGGTGGTGGTGGTGGTGGTGGCGGTAGTAATAATAGTAATTGTTCAGTTCAAACCATCGTAGTTATCAATTTCCTGATAATATTTGCAAATTCTATCAACTGTCTCATATCCTCTTTTACGAAATTCTTCAATATCCATAATTTTATATTAATTTATTATGTCTTTTAATGAGTATATCTTATTGTATTTTAGTATTCCAGGAAAATTTCAACAACAAAATCTGAAAAGGCCAATTTTATATTAGTAGATTTTAAATACCTATTTATGTTACACCGTTTTTGATAATTATTTTAATCATTTCAAATCAATCGAAAAAATCCATGATTTAAAAGATCAATCAATATAATAAATAAATAACACTTATTTAATCTTTCCTAGTTGATTGGTAAAAAAGAAATTTTCAGGGCAAATTTAAAAAAAAATAGCATCCCGCCTCTATTTAATTTACTTTAATATTAATCAATATTAATGGCTAACCGAATGGATATTCAAAGAAGAACCCAAGGATTCTGTTATCAAATTGTTCGTTGAAAAATTACATCATTTTCCTCGTGATTGGTTGGGTTGGTTGGGTGTTGGTTTTTGGTAAATTGTAAAATGTGCATGTCAATTTTTTATTTTTTATCCACGTAAGATCCACAAGAATTGATATCTGATATACAGATCAACATGTAACATCAAAATTAATTTTCTCTATTTTTTTTACATCAAGAAAATAAAAATATCAATATTAAAAGATGCAGGCGCCAGTAATTGTAATGAGTAAGCCCGTTAAATTATTTATAACTATTACCATATTTATCAAAATAAAATATTAAATTGATAACAATTATATAGATACCAATGTTAATAGAGAAACTGGGCGAAAAGCCCAAGTCTCTAATATAACAGCCGCAAAAGTATATATTAAAAAAAATTTTTATTTAAATATCTTATTAATTAATATCATTGGAATAGAAGTCGATTTGATCCCAAAAAATTATTATTGTCATGAACACCCTTCTTTTCTCCCTCCTTTCATTTTATTTTTTAAATATTAGACAGTGGCTGATATTATTCGAACTTGTCTTGGTCCTCGTTCCATGCTTAAAATGTTGTTGGATCCAATGGGCGGAGTAGTTCTTACTAATGATGGTAATGCTATTCTCCGTGAAGTTGAAGTGGCTCATCCAGCTGCAAAAAGTATGATCGAATTAAGCAGAACACAAGATGAAGAAGTTGGTGATGGTACAACTAGTGTTATTATTTTGGGTAAAGAAGAAAATACTATATATATACATATTATTAATTGAGGCTTATTGTTTATTAAAAGTGATCATTTGCTGATTTTTTTAAAAAATTGGAAAGTTTAGCTGGTGAAGTACTTGCACAAGCATTACCATTCCTTGAACGTAATGTTCATCCAATTGTCATTATATCTGCTTTTAAAAAGGCTTTAGAAGATGCTATAAATATTATTGGTGAAATTTCTAAACCGGTTGATATTGATAATCATGAAGAGATGCTTAAATTGATTAAAAGTTCTATTGGCACAAAATTTGCAAGTCGTTGGAGTGATCTAATGTGTAAACTAGCTTTGGATGCAGTTAGAGTAGTCGCCATAGAAGAAAATGGAAAACGTGAAGTTGACATTAAAAGATATGCTCGCATTGAAAAGGTTTTTTTTCCCTCATCCTATAAAATTAATATTTTTTTATATTTGCTTATTTATATATATATGCATATGCTTAATTAATATACTTGTATTTATTTTTTTTGTTTGAAATTAGGTTCCTGGTGATGAAATAGAGGATTCAAAAGTTTTAGATGGAGTTATGTTAAATAAAGATGTTACACATTCTAATATGCGTCGTCGTATTGAAAATCCTAGAATAGTTTTATTAGATTGCCCACTTGAATACAAAAAAGGTGAATCACAAACTAATGCAGAGATTATGGATGAAAATCATTGGAACAGATTATTGGTAATTGAAGAAGAACAAATTAAAGAAATGTGTGAAAAGATTATTGCAGTAAAACCAGATCTTGTATTCACTGAGAAAGGAGTTTCAGGTTTTTCATGATGATAATTATTATATTAAAAGAAATAATAAGAAGACTATTATCTGTTTGTTTCCTAACATTAAAACAAAATATTTGTTTGAATCAGATCTTGCACAACATTATTTAATGAAGGCAAACATATCTGCTATTCGTCGTGTTCGTAAGACCGATAACAATCGTATTGCACGTGCAGTAGGTGCAAACATTGTTAATCGATTGGATGATCTTAAAGATGAGGATGTCGGTGTAAATTGTGGATTGTTTAATATTGAAAAGATCGGTGACGAGTGAGTATTGTTGTTATAAAAAAAAAGTTTTTTTAATTAAGAAAAAAAGAAAAACAAATCTATTTTACTAAAAAAAAACTACTTTTTTTTTTGGGAAAAGATATTTTACATATTTAACTAATTGTAAGAATCCCAAAGCCTGTACAATTCTTATTCGAGGACCATCAAAAGACATTTTAAATGAAATAGATCGTAATCTTCAAGATGCAATGAACGTTGCCAGAAATGTTTTTTTTAATCCTTGTTTAGCTCCTGGTGGTGGTGCAACCGAAATGGCCATAAGTGTCAAACTTTCAGAAAATTCAAAAACCTTGGAAGGTATTGAACAATGGCCATATAAAGCTGTAGCAGAGGCCATGGAGGTTATTCCAAGAACTTTGGTTCAGAATTGTGGTGGTAATGCTATGAAAATTTTAACTCAATTAAGGGTAACATATATATTTATAAAATATAAAGCATACGATTATTTATATATTTTTTAATTCAAATAAAATTTTTAATAATGAATTTAAGGCAAAACATGCTACAGGAAACCATTCTTGGGGTATTGATGGAGAAAGTGGTAAAGTGGTTGATATGCACGAGTATGGTATTTGGGAGCCTAATGCAGTAAAAGTTCAAACTATTAAAACAGCTATTGAGGTATGGTTTACCTCTCAACAACTCTCCTTCATTGCTAATTTAAAAAAACATAACCATATGTAATTTTTGAAATTGAAAAATCTATACTAAATTATTATATATATATATATATCTTTGTTTAAAGTCGGCTTGTCTTTTACTTAGAGTTGATGATATAGTCTCAGGTGTATCGAAGAAGAAATCACAAGGTGGTGGTGGTGGTCCACAAGTTGTAAATGAGGGAGAAGGTGCTGAGGGTGGTGAGGGGGGTGGTGAACAATAACTATGATAATAATAAAGAAATTTTGAAAAAATAAAGTAAATCGGTTGACAAAATAGGAGGAGGTTGATTCAGAGAAAAATTATAATGGAAATATATATAAATATCTCTCTTGTCTTGAAAACCCTAAAGCAACTTCAAGTGATATATTAAATTTAATAATTAAATTATTATTGTTGTTGTTGTTTATTTGCTTTTTTTTTTTTTTTAATATAAATACAATTCTTATCCATATTGCGAAGATTCCAATGAGCAATGAGCAGTGAGCAATGAGCAATGAATATATATAAATTTATAGACTATATACAATTAAAAATTAATTATTTAATTTTCTAAAAAAAAAATCTAAAAATTAAAGGACATTCGACCTTTCGCAATACCTTAAAAAGAATCTAACTGTCCCACAGTTTAAATTCTCTTCTATCGCTAATTATAATTAAACATCAATTAATTGGAAAGATTATTATTATATATTATATTAATCTTAATATAATATAATAATATATATATATATATAATACAATAAAAGAATCAATCATGTAAAAAAAAAAAAGGAAATAAAATTATTTTGTGGCTTATAGTGATTTTATATATATATATATATATATATATATTAATATAATTTAGCAACATAGCAACAGCAATCAATTATTATTAGAAGTATTTAAATATCTTGTTTAACTTTGATATTTTATTTTTAACTTTATTACTTTATTCTTTGGTGATGGTTTTCCTTTGCTTTTCCTTTTTTTATGATCATACTCGTTTTCTATCGATTTTAATTGTTTATTATCTATTTCTATACAATTTTCATAATCTTTATTGATCGGCGACGAATCAGTTGTTTTATCAGAATCAGGTATCTCGTCAGAATCATCTCTGTCATGACAGTCTTGTCTAGGTTGTAACATCCAGTTTTGTCTATCAACCTCTGCACCATAATAAACGAATAATTCCTCTCCTGCTTTAATATCTCGATTGGTCCAACATATAACCTGATTAATCTCATGTCCTTCTAGAAATATCATATTTCCAGATGGATCTTCATTCATAAAATGAAACGGACAATAAACATTTCCTTTTTGATCAGTGTAAGGCATTCCATCTTTATCTGTTGCATCTAGTATTGTATGTTTATATCTCATGGAATAATCTGCCGCCATTCCAATATTATCTTTATGTAATTCAAATTCTTCTTCAAGCATTGGGACACCAAAATAAAACCCTAATGGCGTCGCATTAGGAATATCTCGTTTAGCAAACAATCCGTTACCTGCATTGGGAATAGTGGATGGCTTGACCTCTACAAGTTCATCGATGCTTTTTGGAACGGCACTATAATCAAACCATTCATGAATTTCTTCTGTTTGTATATAAGTTATTAATTCTGATTGAGCTGACGATGCGTTACTATCTGTGGTTTCACAAGAAGATTTATCTAATATGTGATCGTTATTGTCTTTATTCTTTAATTTAGAACAATTATTATGTGCATGTTTTTTTGCTGTAACTGGCGAAAGGTTTGATTCGGTAATGAAGGTTTTTGATTTTCCTTTGAATGTCTTTGTTCTTTTGGTCAATGTGTAAATGCATAGTATCCCGTTTTCTTTACATTTAGAACACGAAGGAAATTTTGAATCACAATGTTTTTTTTCTAAACATCGCACACAAGTCATATCAACATTCGTGTCTACACCCACTGAAAGCATAAAAATTTTTTTGTCTGAAGATACATTATCTAGGGAGGAAAAAAAAATGACGGTAAAAAGAAACTAATAAATATATTGTTATCCTGATACGATATTCATTGTATCAATGATAATACACAACAAAGTTACCTTTTAATTTTCCAAATAACAATGGCCAATCATGTTCTATTAATTTTTTTGTCCAACTATTGTAATATCCATAAAATTCATCAAAATCATTTGGAGTAAATGAAAGTTTATAATGAGATTTTGAACCCGGGTCTTTCTTAAATGGTATAAAATACTTTTCTGCAACGTACGTTAAACATGCACTAGCTGAATTTTCTGGCGTCTATTAAAATATAAACACAAATAGAGTTTAAATAAGTATTTTAGGATATGTTAAAAGTAAAAAAAGGTGATGTGTTTAATAAATGTATCATCAATATTAGAGATAAATACATACGTGACCATTATAACATCTTGGTAAGCCTGTTTTATGACTTATTCTTTTGTCTAAATACAGTGCTGCTTCAATCAGATCTTTACGTGGCATACTATAATTGGGAGCGTTTTGTAATATTATCATCAATAAGTGTGCTTGATTGTGCCATTTAGGTCTAATTAATGGTGGAATCAAACATGTATGATTTGGATTATCTACATTATCTAGCTTTAGCATTTTAAGAAAATGATTTTCTGCGAACGATTTAAAAAATTCCTTGTCACCATCCAAAATATTGGTTTTTACAAGATCTTGAAATTTAATTCCCATTTTATTAGCAACAGTTTGGATACAACTAAAAAAATATTCAAGGCTTGTTCTTTGTTCTTTTTCTATGAAAAAATGTCTCGAGATTTCATCTAAATGAGGATATACTATAAATACATTCCTATCAGAATTAAATTTTGCTGTACAATCCTTTAGAAATTTTGAGATTGCCTCACGAGTACCTATCCAATCTCTATGAGAATGCTGTAAGACTGTTTTAGCTATATTCATAAAATTTGGATCAATTTCTATTGAAGTGGTTTCTTCTGCTGCATGAGCTGGTGAAAGCTTTAAAAGTAAAGCATTTCGTAATTTTTCAGTTGTTTCGCTGTCTGCATTATCAGGATTTGGTGTTATTGCAAGTAAATCTTCAATTAAATAAAGCCTGCTCAAGTCATCAATTTGAGCCAAACGTGACATCGCACTTGCAAATTTTTCCAAAGAAAGTTCTGATAATACTTTTATAGCAATGTCCTTGATAACATCTTCCCAGGCCTGTTCAACAGTCAAATCTCTTTGTAACTTTGGAACAATCCGTGGCTCCAGCCAATTCTTTAATACTTCTGATAATTCTACGGGTTTTTTACTTTTTTTTGACATACTTGAGGCAACGATCAGTAAGAGATCTTTATAAATTTGGTGTAAAAGATAACAATTTATATATAGATTAATAAAATATTAAATTTACAGGCAATTAATTATGTATGATTTATTTATATTATTTCGAAGTACAAACAAAACAAAAAAAAAAATTTAATGTTCCAACTCTCAATTTCCTAATTTGATTGGTCTTGATTATTTTTCCCAATCATATTAATATGTGATCATCATTTAGTTCCGACAAAGATACTCGAGCATGTAAACATTATATTTTTTTATAGTAGGGTTAAATGATTCAGTTAAGAGCTTGAGATTTAATGATAATTATATTGTTTATTTGGTAAAAAATATCATATTGCATTTATTTATTTTTGATCATAATATATAATATATGTATTAGTGTATATTAATATATTTGGCTGAATGATAAAATTTCAAATGAACGAATGATTGTTATTTTGATGGTTTGCATCATTTTATGTGAACTGTGTGGTATTTTACAAATATCATTAGAATGTTGTGAAAGTTTGTCAATCCCTTTCAGTCACACTAGAAGTTCAAAACAAAATATTTTGTCAAAAGTTTGGATAGATTATGGCACAGGACATGAAGTAAATTTTGCTGCGTGGTTGTAAGTAATAATAATAATATATACATTTATTTATATTTGTTTTATTATGATAATCTATATAATTTTAATTGGAATGAATTAGATGATTACGTTGCTATAGTTTTGAAAGTAATCGATTATCATCATCATTAAATTATTTCACATTTAAATAAAAAGGTATATATAAAAGTGATGAGAAATTTACGAGTTACATCTTGGCTTGAACAATCATGATCACGCGGTGTTTGAAGCTTGGGGCTTAGGTGATTATCATTTCCAACCTTTTACGTTTGATTCTGCTTAATGGATTGATATGAAGTTATTAAATTCTTTTGGGAAAGTGATTCTTTGTTTATATATATATATATATATATATATAAATATATAAATGTCCATTTATATTTATACATGTGTTTTTATATATGTATTTATAGGTCATAAATACATTAAACAAAAATCAATTCGTGACAAAGATTTTGTCGATGAATATTCAAAGGATTATATGTATTTATCCTGAATAAAATTCATTGATTTGGTAACTTTTTACAAGACCAAAATTGTATCGCTTAGATGTAATTCATCAATGTTGGGTGATATATCAGGTTATTGATTGAATATATTTTGATTAATAAATTAATTGTTTGTTTGTTTGTTTATTTGTTTGTTTGTTTGTTGTTTATTTAAGGGAAAATAAAGATGAGGGAAAAAATATTTATTTTATTAGCTTGTAATAATATCAACAATACAAGCACGTGATGGGAAAAGGAATGGTTAAAATGTACAAGGGCGAAGTTCTTGGAAAATTGTCAATGATGCAACATTTTATGTTTAGATCTCTGATACATTTTGAAGAAAGTGCTTCTTCACAAAATCATGAACATGAACATGAGCGTGTTCATGCTTTTGGTCAAGAATCCTGACTGGTGGGTATTATTACAATTCCTAGCACTATCGGAGCTAACCAAACGTATCTTAAAGAAACGATTATCTTTTGATTAGATGGTTATTGTCATTGATTGGGCTGTGTTAGATTATCTTTGACAACATTGTTTCTTCAATTGGCAGTATAATGTTATTCAAATTTCTTTACTATTAAGCTCCTTCAAATTTTAAACAACACGTATTTTACAGGGAACGATGATTATTACCAACGATTCGAGAAAGTAGAGATGAACAAAATGTTCGATTTATTTCTAGAACCCGAACATATCTTGTCATAACAATTCCCATGTTATAATCTTGCATCGTAAAAAATTGCGCGTAAAGAAAGGATCTTGTATGGTTGCTATAGGCTTATAATTGGCAAATTCAGTCGATGCACCAAAAGAACTAAACATGAACTTTCAATTCAGATGCATATCTTAGTAGACCATTATTATTATTATAGAAAAAATCTATTTTACATTGCGATTGCATAATGGTATTTGCATTATTATATTATAAATGATCCTTTGGTTTGAAAGTGAGAAGTTAAGAAAGTTTGGTGAGAATTTGAGAGTGATAATTCATTATATATAACGTAAAAGTGCAAAAAGATTTTCAAATGTAAACTGATGTAATAAATAGTTTTTATTTTTAATCAATTATTTATTTCTTTTATAAATTCTATTCATAAAAGAAATAAATACTTGATGTTTAACGGAATTATCATCAACTTTAGAAATTAAACTATTCAAGTACGCATAAGAATTATTTTCATAATCCTTATACACACTTTCTAAATCCAACTCATTGTAAATTCTTTTAATAACTTCCACGTTTTTGGGATCTTTCTTTCCATAATTTTCCTAGAAAAAAATAAAATATTATCATCATTATCATCATTATCAATCATCATCATCATCATCATCATTTCATTAATGTTTGATACATACATCCAAAAGTTTCCTTTGTTCGGGATTTGCTTTTGCTAATGCCTGATTAATAAGCCAAGAACATTTATTATCTTCGATATCTGTTCCAATTTTTCCAATGACTTTAGGATCACCAAAACAATCAAGATAATCATCCTAAATAATTATAAATATATAGTCTTTAGTAATGATGAATCAATAATATAAATAAATAAATAAATATATATATATATATTAAATCGAAAAAAATAATAAAGATGTTGGACCTGAATTTGAAAGTATTCTCCTAACGGTAATAAAACATCTTGAGCTTGTTGATAAGCCTTTTCATCTTTAATTCCAGTCTTTGATAATTTAGTGTAATGATTGTTATTATATATTTTTTATATATTTTAATAGAATGAAATTCCATAAATCCAACCAACCATTCTCATAGCCAAAGCGACCGGAAGATAAAATGAATAATATGCCGTCTTATGTAATACGATCAATTTATGCCTTTATTACAATTAATATATCAAAAAAAAATTTTCAAAATTATTAAATCATGCATGTATATATAATTTTGTATGATAGTAATAATTTATTTGTTACTTTTGAATTGAGAATTTACTCAAGTCTATATGGTCTTCAGGTGCGGTTGTTAAATCTAATAATTGGCCAAATTCTGTCTCGAGTGTTATCTATAGAGTGATTATAAAAAAAAAATTTCATTTTAGAAAGTCACGTGATCATTTCAAAGTCGAGCATACGATAATAACTCTATAATAGATATCATTATTAGCAAGGAATTTTAGAAACAAAAAAATTTACCTCATGAAATAGCTCTAGTAAATCGATATAATAAGGATCCTGACGAAAATATTTTTTCAAGAAAAAATAGATTCCAGCTTCCAAAAGAAAAGAATCATTAATTGCAATATTTCCAACCCCTTCCTGATAAATTAATTTGATTCAATTACCATCTACTTATTTATCCCCACCAAAAAAAAAAAAAAAAAAAAAAAAACTAAAAGAAAACAATTACCATTTTGTACCAACAAGGTTGGCCACGACGAGTAATAGATTGATCCATTATGTCATCGGCAACAAGAAAGAAAGCTTGAAGCTTTAAAGCAAATTATTTTTTGAACTTAACCATATCAAACCATTACAAGGTACTGTTCAGCCAGATAATCAAATAATCGCACATACCCATTCAACACACCAACCAAGAACTCTGGCCTTAAAAAGTTCTTGTTCTGTCACGTTATTATCTTTTAATAACTTAAATGTATCAACAACTGACAAGCCACGATTCAATTTTCCTATATATTAAAGTAACAATAATAAAAGGAATTGAAGAATCTTTGGGACATGTGGAATCTAGACATTAGACACTGATGATGCTTACCGCCAGGAACATTATGATTTAAGCACTATACAAATAATAAACAATAATCAATTATCATCATTTCTTAACACACTCTCAAACTAAACAAAAATAGGTAAAAAAACCAACGTCTTTAATCCATTGAATTGCGTTCTGGGGAAATTTCCTATCTTCTGCCTCTTTGACAAATTCTTTTAACAAAACAGGAAAAACTTTTTCAAATTCTTTTCTATCGTTTAATTTTTCTTCTGCAGTTGCCATTTTTTTTTAAAAATTAAAATTTTAAATAAATTAAATTAAATTAAAAAAACCCCCATAGTTTTTTTTTTGATTTTCATATGATGATTATTGTGATTACGTTTTTTTTATGTTAACTGTTGTCAGAATGAGGGGACGTTATTACGTAATAGAAATTATAGAATTTAAAGTTTGTTGGAAAAGTAAGCCTCTCTAGGTTTTTGTCCAGTTTTTTCTAAATATGGATTTTGTCTTGTTACCAATTTTATTTAGATGTAATTAATGATAGACGTGTGTGTAGCTGTTGTAAAAATGATTGTTATATGACATCAAGTAATAGTTGTCATAACAGTCAATCGGAACACAACAATTCGTGTCTATTTATTTACTTAATGTTTAATTTATTTTAATATGAATGAATAATAGATAAGTAATAATAGTATATCCTTTACCGTATATACCATACAATAATGTTGGTAGATTATTAAAAAAAAATTAAAAAAAAAAATTAAAAAAATATTCAAAAAAAAATCAAAAATTAATCAAAATGCTCCTAAATCGTTAAAATTATTTTATGATAATATTATCATTGATAATAATAAATTATATATATAATTGATTTGATTAATCAATTTAACTTCAACTTTCTTCACAATATTACTTAAATATTATTTATTCCTTTATACATTAAAATTATTTCTCAGGAGTCTCAGGAGATTTCTTCTCTAAAGCTTTCTAATGATCAATAATAACACCAAAGATTATTCACTATTATTGTTATTTATCATTATTATATATATAATATTATCAATTATTATTATTTTTTACCTGTTGCTTTTGCCTCATGATTTCAGCGTCACTTTTTTTTTTTTATAAAAAATGATAAATATCAGTTAGTAATCTTGATATTAATGATATATATATATATATATATATAATAGAATATGAATATATTTTTTTGTATTGAAGAACCATGCATGGTAAAAAGCCTTTTTCAAATTTATTTCCAAATAACAAAAATGAAAAGAACGAACAACTCAACAATTTATAATTTTATATATATATATATATATATATACATACTTTTCAGCTCGTTTTTTAAACGACAGATCATCCTCTTTCTTTTTTGGCTGGTTTTTTTGTTGTTTTTTAATATTTTTTTCGCGAGCCTTATCTCTCTGATTTCCGCCTTTTTAAAAAAAAAAGTCACAAATTACATACATAAAACGACAATGAAAACTCTTGACCAAGAAATTGAGAAAGCAACGGAAAATAAGAAATTTAAGAGAAAGTAATACTTACGAGCCATTTGTACCAAAGAAATTTGATGTAGTGATGAGTATTTTTATTATTATAGTAGTGTGTATTTTTTTTATTATTATTGGCAAAGTAAATGATTGAAAATATTACAATTATGTCATATGGTGTCACTAACGCAAATAAATGTGCCACAGATGTATACAAAAATGGTAGTGCAAATCTTGTAACAAATAAAACCTAGAACTACTACCACACACCAATTATAGGTTTTTTGATTCCTCCCGATATTTGTTCCACATATTTTTGTGTATGTATAGTGTAACTCTTATATAGTAAGAGTTTTCCTTGCGTTTATTTGGAAGAACATAATAAACTTTTGACACCAACCAGTTTGCCAATTTTATCATATTTTACTGGAGTCAGCTTCGAGACATTTTTCAATAGCATATAAAAATCATATATACTAATAAGTCATAGACACCATCATCATTTGGCACCGGGGGTAATATATGTATGTATGTAAGTGTGTATGTGTGTGTGTGTGTGTGTGTATATGTTTTAAACTCTTGGTTTTTTTTCCTTTAAATATCAATCTTTAAATAGTAATCTAAAAAAAGAATATATATATATATATAGATTTCTTTTCATTTACAAATTTTGTTTTATTTGTATGTTTATCTTTGATTCAATAAATATAGGTTTTATTTTACGTCAATTTGTTTAACTTGCGTTCTATAGAATATAGTAAAAAAACGATAATAATAATAATACTTTCTAATAATAATAATAATAATACTAGATTAGAAAATTTACAAAAGAGATTAGATTTTATTACTTTTTTTGTGATTGTCATTTATTTATTAAATATTTATAAAATTACAGATTTTCTTTGGAAGAAACGAAGGAAAAACGAACGAACGATCGATCGATTGGGCAACGAATTGGGTAAACAAATAACATTTATGCATTCGAATTCGAATAAACAATCGAACAAACGAAATATGAAATTAAAAAATAGCAAAAAAGACGAAAGATGATAAGAAAATTCGAAAACAAACGTACACAAAAAACCAAAAAATGATATTAATATTAATATATTATACTGAAATTGGTTGATTTGAATTTTTTGAATGATTTTAATGAATTTCTGGTTAAAATTTTTGTGGAGTGTGTGGAGTGAGGAAATTGATTTTTTTTATAGATAAATTAAATTAAAACAAGTAAAATAATAAAAAAAAAACAACTGATAAGAAAAAAAATTTTACCTATAATAAAGATAAAGATAATTCATTTCTATCTTTCTTTAAATCGACAATCTTGAAACATTCTTGTATAACCTTCACACACACAAACAAAAACACTCGACTTTCCTTCTAAGGGATAGAAAACAACATTTTGTTTATATTCTTTATATTCTCAAACTCGAAGAAATAATTTTAAAACGGATTCAATTCAAAACAAATCCAAAACGAATTCAAATTGAATAACGCACTTACAAATAAATGTATTACGTTAATTTATTTATTACAAATGCATGATTACACAAATCAAAATTCGCGCATACCTTTTATTATTAGAAGAAAAAGAAAGAAAGAAATCTTTCTACTATAAACAAAATACGTATTAATATGTAGCATAATAAACATTATGTACATAAGAATGCTTGACATAAATTAAAAATTAAATTAAAAAAGAGAGAGATCGAATTTTCGGTTTTCTTCTTGACATTTAAGGGAGTTGAAAGAACCTTTTTAAAAAAAACCATTAAAGAAATCAAGTGTTTGATCTAGTTTTTTTTTTTTAAGAAAATTTTAAAATCTATTAATAGCAAAATTATCATTAAGCTCCATATAGACTGACTAATCATCATTCCACACAAAAAAAAAATCTTTCCATATTTGTTAATATTTTTTAAAGGAAGAAAGTTGAATTAATTTCTTTTTCATTACACATCATTTACAATTCCAAGCCATTCCCCGTTCTCATTCAACATCATAACGTCATATTATTATTATAATTATCATAATCATCATCATCATTACTATTATTATTCCTTTCAATCAAGAAACTTTGGTTTTTTTTTAATAATTTCTAAAATTGGATCATTTACTTATTTATATATTTAACGCATACTACTAATAATTAAATATTTTAATATATGCAATACATATGTTTAATCTTATTGAAAAAATAAAATAAAAATTGATCAAATGATGATGATATTTTGAATCACAAGGTTTGAAATAAAAAAAAAAAAAAAAAATGAAAAATGAAACATAGTTATTATTCAGTCACCAGATTTCAAGTTTCAAATTTTTATTTTTCGAATTCTGTATATGATTACGAGATAATTGCGGTGGTGATAATTCGTGTATGATACGTAATTCGTGTAGGGGTACGTATGTGTGTGCGCACGTTCCAATGGAAAGGGATAAAAGGGACAAATGACAACATTAAAAATGAAACGTGATGTGGTCTATGTGATTGTGTGATTGTGTGATTGCTGTGATTACATGTATGAGTTATTTTTCATGAGAAGTACTGCTATTATTATCAATGTTATCATCACTATCTTTTCGATTAAACAATTGTCTTTACTATTAATGTCAAAAAAAAAAAAAAGGGGGAAATTAAGGGTTTCCTAAATAAAGTTTAATTTTAAAAAAAATTGTTGACTTTGTAATCAAACTTTAATTGACTTACTATTTGATTGAAATTGAAATTGAAATTGAAATTGAAATTAATTAAACTAACTATTGAATAGGTTGAAATTGAAATTGAAATTGAATTGAATTAAACTAACTATTGAATAGGTTGAAATTAAACCAATTATTGAATGAGTTGAAATTGAATTGAATTAAACCAACTATTGAATAGTTTGAAATTGAATTAAACTAACCGTTGAATGATTGAAACGATTAACAACTGAGTCCATTAAATTGAATCGACTAATAACAGCTAGTTAAAGGTGAAGATGACCACACTTAAAAGCCGTTGATTGAAATCATGAGCGAAAAAAAAGAGCCAAGTGTTTTCAAATATTATGACGGTAAAATTAAATTAATAATTAATATGTGATTATTGGGAAAATGTTGACCATGAGGATCAAATAATCATAAAGATTTGTTTGATCTATTATTATCATCATTGTGAAGGATTACGAAAGAATAATCATCATAATAACATTATTATTATTATTATTATTATCATTCGATTTGAAGAACCTATAAAAATCCATTTTTTGTATTAATTAATAAATTTTTTTTCAATCGATTCATTCATTCAAATCATTCTCGATTAATTTATAATTCGATTCCTTCCATTTTCTCTAATTCAATGTATATTTTCACATGCGATAGAGGGATATTTTTTAATATGTATAAAAAAAAACATTTATTATTATTGTTGTTGTTGTTGTTAATTATATAATATTTATTATTTGTTAATTTAAAAAATTTTTTTTCTTTAATTTTTTTCATTAAAAATGATTTCACTGTCATCAAATATTTTTTTGTCATTTAGTTATTGTTGGTGATATATAATTATGTTTCCTTAAAATATGATTAACATTGGGAAAGAATATATATATTATACATAATACACCATTGTGTTATTAAAAGTAGAAATTGGAAAAGTCAACCATCATCCTCTACCCCACCCACAGTGTCAGTTTATTTGATTTGTGAATTTGAATTCGAGTTTTTTAAAATTTTTATTCTCCGAAGGATAAACTTTATTTTTCATGGAAAAAAACAAAAAAAAAA